TATATATATATATATTATATATATATATATATATATATATATATATATATGTATATATATAACTATCAATTTCAATGCTACTCATAAATTATACGTAGGATTATTTACAAATCACAGAATACATCTGAAGGATGGACAAGAAAAGTAAACAAACTTATTTATGATTGAAATGTGATGGAAGTTCATTGAAAGCAAACCATCAATAATACCCTAAATATGCAAACAAACTTATCTTACAGTACAATCGAATCACACAATTTGTCATCCTCATCAAATATAAGAATGTAAATATTCGTGAAACAATCCGATGAATCATGATTCATCGGATTGAACAATCGATATTCATTGATTTGACAAATATCTCGGCGGAATGGAATATTAATAAACCGGTAGATGAGTATGACTGCATGGTACTTCCGTATAATATGATTGCATGGTACTCAGTTTTCAATGTTTGGAAAAAAAAATACATAATTAATTCAGAGAATATGAGAGTAGTATGATGAAGATGATTGCAAATCAAACCTTTTGAAAATAACTTTTAAATTAATGAGGTGAATATTTGGGATGAATCATTGACCATAAAGTTTTGATGAATTATTGAAAAATTCGTGGTTCCTCTTTGAACCCTAAAATTAAAAGTTATGTTTATTATAACGGTCAACCATAAAGACTGTTAAGTAATGAACGAGAAAATTTGATCATATTTTTCATTTGTTAAATGTCACAAACTAATTTATATCAGGTCATCTCTTCATGACCACTTGACAATTATCAACAGAAAATATTTAAATGCTGGTTAATTTCCCTAAAATGATTGATAATATCAGTTAAATGAAGGAGGATGGAAATATGTCATATGTTAAACTTCCATACGTTTAATTTTTGAATTAAATTAAAAGTTCGATTTACAGGATTACTTTTAAAAAGATGAAATTGCTAAGAGCCAACAAGAAAACAAAAAAAAAAAAAAAAAATGACTGGATAAAATTGGATGGACTGTGATCGAAGATTGAAAACTACAAACGATTAATGAATAAATTATCGAATAGATCTGTTAGAAGAATTGAAAACAGTAAAAAAGAATTTTACAATGGAATTAAAATTTTAAAATTTGTAATCCAATTGAATTTGATTTTAGGCATAATACACTAAAATCATTGGATTTGAAATTGCAACCATTATTGAATTATTTGTTGTATAGGTAAAAAAGCATTCATCTAAATGGATATTGTCACAAATTGCGCCTATTCACGTTATTTTCAATTCCTATTTAATTGGTTGACATATCTATATGCAACCCACGCATCCAAAATTTCCAACAACTAATTTGACAATTCATCTGTAAATACTACGAATTATCTCTTCATGTAATTAATCAACGATCAATCTCGATAAAATTGGTAAAAATTGATGAACGTAGATTGATTGAATAGTTAATTTCAATTAAATGACTGAGAAATTAATATAAACCATAAATGCAAAATTCATGAATTCATACAGCTTGATATTTTCATCAATTTCGAATAGATTTATTCTCTAATTAATTACTCAAACTTCATATTATCAAACATTGATATTGGAGCAAATTTTATAGCTATATAATCATTATTATCTTGTGGCTTCCAATAATTTTGTCATGAGAAGTTGTCATTGGTAAAATTGGAAAAAACAAAATGAAAAAAAATTACATGACAGAAAAATGAAATTGTTGCATAGAAATTAGTGATGATTAGTTGAAAGGAAAAAAAAAAAGTATTTAATATTAAATACATTAATCAAATTATCCATTGTTAAGTTTTGTTGTCGTAAAGAGCAGTGAAGTTAATCAATGTAATATGTCGAAAAGGTTAATTATCACTTGCTAACATATGAAAAATTATTGATAAAGGATACTAAGATTAGCAAGAATTTCTTCATGAAGTAAAATGAATGATAATAAATGGTAGCTATATGATAGTTAAGTGTCGGAATACAAATTCCATTTCTTTAAATAAATTCAAATTATGTGATTAATATCCTGTGAGGAATAAATTTAACAAGGACATGACAAAGATTCGAAACTGTAAAGGTCAAGTATTACGTGGAAAATTGTTGCGTAATTAATAATAGGATTTTCTTTCTTTTGTTTGCATCAATTTTTATCAATCAAATTTATCAAAAAACCAAAAAAATGTCAAAAAATTATCGAAAACAAAAATCGAATTTTATCAATTTTCTGACCATTTTTAATCAAAAAATTAATTTAAATGATAAATCAAATTTTGCTATCTTGGAAATAATTTTTGTAGTCATTTTATGATAAGAGAGGTGATAATTATAAAACATAATCATCATACATAACATTAGTAGTACTTCTATTCAGCAATCTATTTGATCGTATGTTTCAAAAACTTAAGCTTCAACGTTCCCATGAAACAAAATATCCTCCTGAACTCGTTTCAATGGTATTTTTTAAATCCGATCTTTTTACTTTTTAGTTGCTTAATTTTACAAACATTTCCTAATAACTATTAAATTCAAATTAAAAAAAATTTAAAAAAGATAACAAGAGAAGCCAAATGGTTTATCTCATTGTATTTGTTTTTATCCATTTATCTTCTATTCCCTCAATACGATGATATCATGAATTCTCCTTTTTTTTTCTTTTTTCTGGTTTGTATTACATTTAAGAAAGTTTTTAACTTTCTTCAAACTTCAACAAACTTTATTTATGATAATATATTAGGAGAAATTAGCTGGTTTTCTTTTTTCCAAACCAATCGATACATATCTGACATATTAATATATTACCTCGTTTTTTCTTTTTGGTATATTTTAACAATTAATATTGTATATTGAAGGAATTGATGATATATTTTACATAGATGGAACTACTACCAACGATGCATGATGTCATGGGTGAATTACTAAATTGCTCCGATGCAATATCTCGACGATTTCAAATTAAAGATGAAACAACGACTGCAAGCGAAAAACTTGCTTTGTCGATCAAAATACTTATTCCAAATGTTGCTGAACATAAAGAAGTAATAATTTAGCTTTTACTTAATTAAACGTTAAATTTTCTTTTACTTAATTAAACATCTTAATTGTTATGTCTAAAAAAAAAAAATGATGAATCAAGGTGAGTTAAGTCCGAGTTGATATATTTGATAAAGGAAGAAAACCTGAAATTTAAATGTATAGTGTTTTTCCTTTTTTTTTTTTTTTATAAT